TCCCTCCCCCCTCCTCCTCTCCCTCCCTCCTCTTCTCCCTCCTTCCTCCCCTCCTCTCCTTCTCTCCCTCCCTCCTTCCCTTCTTCCATGGGTGTTTGAGGTTTCCCTTTCAGTCAGAGCTGAGTTTCCTCTCCTATCTCTGGGTTTGTCCCTACGGCCAGAGTGGCAGATTACAGGTTCTTTATGGAGGCAGTGGAAGCAGGCATATTCCCATGGAAATCCCAGTTTCCTGGCCCATATTTTGTTTCTGGTACTTGTTATGACCTTACTTGACTAAGTTATCCCTGTGTTCCCCCATTTCTCAGTCATCTCCAAAGGAGAGGTGTCCTCTGTGTCTGTTACTGGGAAGGTCACATGCGCCAGGCCTTCAAGCCGGTGTCCTGTCTGCCCTGGGGCTCCTGACCAGGGTATGGGCAGACCCAGATCTGACAGATGGCTCAGTCTGGCATACCCGCCAGGTTGTGTGAGCAGATTCTTCCTCCATTTGTTTCTTTGTTTTTTTTTGTTTGTTTGTTTTTGTTTTTTTGAGATGCAGTCTCACTCCGTCACCCAGACTGGAGTGCAGTGGCGTGATCTCAGCTCACTACAACCTCTGCCTCCCCAGGCTCAAGTGGTTCTCCTGCCTCAGGCTCCCGAGTTGCTGGGACTATAGGCACCCGCCCCCACACCTGGCTAATTTTTTGTATTTTTAGTAGAGATGGGGTTTCACCATGTTGGCCAGGCCGGTTTTGAACTCCTGGCCTCAAGTAGTCCACCCTTCTCAGGCTCCCAAAGTGCTGGGATTACAGGTGTGAGCCACCGCACCCGGCCCTTTCCTTCATTTCTTTACTCCCACTCTGCTCCTGGCTTTTAAGGAAGGGAGACCAGGAAGTTTACTTGGAAAACGTTTCCTAGGCTTTCTCATCAGATGAAGCCATGGGAACACCCAGGAAGCCCGTACCCTCGAGTCCCTTTCTGCCCGCTCATCTTCAGGTCCACAGTACTTTCCAGTGTCATCTGAAGTAATAAGGGTGGTGTGCAGTGTCCCAGTGACCTGTTCCTGTGTGATGAGAAGGAGCCAGGGGCTCGGGATGCCTCAGGAACAGAATGTTGACCTTACACACTAGGCTGAGAGCCTGGCCTGGCCTGGAAGGCAGCTGCCCCTGCCTGCCCTTCCTCACCCCCTGGGCTCTCTGTGGCAGGTTTTCTGGCCTCTGGTGCCCTTCTGCATCCGGAGAGCAGGCAGCCCCTGATGCCCTCGGCTCCCCTAAAACCACGCCTCAGTTAGTCATAACCACAGTACAGCCAAACCGCTGTTGTTCCTGCCACTTCTGTTCAAGAATGGTACCTTGCCAGGCACAGCGGCTCGCACCTGTAGCCCCAATACTTTGGGAGGCCAAGGCAGGAGGATCGCTTGAGCCAGGGAGTTTGAGACCAGCCTGGGCAACATAGAGATGTCTACAAAAATAAAAATTTGTAAGGCGTGGTGGCATGCACCTGTAGTCTCAACTGCTTGGGAGGCTGAGGTGGACAGATTGCTTGAGCTCAGGAGTTTGAGACCAGCCTGGGCAACATGGTGAAACCAAAAATGTAAAAAATCGGCCAGACACAGTGGCCCACGCCTGGAATCCCAGCACTTTGGGAGGTTGAGGCGGGTGGATCACCTGAGGTCAGGAGTTTGAGACCAGCCTGGCCAACAGGGTGAAACCTCATCTCTACTAAAAAGACAAAAATTAGTTGGGTGTGGTGGCGCATACCTGTAATCTCAACTGCTGGGGAGGCTGAGGCAGGAGAATCGCTTGAATCTGGGAGGTGGAGGTTGCAGTGAGCCGAGATCACACCACTGCACTCCAGCCTGGGCAACAGAGCGAGACTCTGTCTCAAAAAGTTTTCAGGAGAGGGAATTTCCTGAGAATCCATAAAACTTGTAACAGCCATACAGCAGGAAACGTTAAGGTTTGGAAACCGGCCTGGAAACCTGATTTCCTCGTTCCCACCTTGGTTCCTGATACGATTGCCTGCTTTGGGCCCTGCGTCTCTGCCGGCCTTTCTCCTGACGCTGTCCAGCTCTGATCCTGAGCCTCATTTCTTCCTCAGCTTCCAGGCTTCCCTGCTAGTCGGTATGACTTGTGCATCAAGTGTTTCAAATTCGAGAACAAGGAGAAGACAATGAGTGGTCGATGAGGTGTGGCCTTTAGCTAAGGTCTATTAGGAAGATTCCAAAGAAGACAAGGGCGGGGAGGGGGTCAGGAGAGCTCCCCAGGAGCCCAGGAAAGACAGGGAGGCGGTCGGGAGAGCCCCCGGAAGTGAAGGAAGAGTGGGGAGGGGGTCAGGAGAGCTCCCCAGGAGCCCAGGAAGGGCAGGGAGGGGGTTGGGAGAGCCCCTGGAAGCCCAGTAGATGCCCCCCAGCCCCTGGGGTTGCTCTGGTGAGGTTGTCAGCCTGAGCTGTATAGTCAAAAAGGCAGTGGGCCCATCTCCAGATGGCACAGCCGGTTCAGCTGTCTGTCCTCGACCTGGGAGTGCTGGGAAGCCAGGGACTGCTGCACCTGGTTCTTGTCACTCCTGGTATGTGTTCACAGATCCCCACTCCTCTTTTTGGCTGGTTGGTGAGGAGTCGTTTTCCGGAAGGCCTGTCATAGCATTGAGATGTCAAGCTGCTGTGTTTCACTGTTGGTGGTCACAGGCAGGGAAGCTGCTTTCTTGATTTATGGCATTGTCAGTAATCCCCAGGGAGCCCACAGATGTCGGTAGGAGTTACGTTAAATGTCTCCTTGACAGGATGGAGGGCTGTGTGAAGATGCTGCATTCCCTGCTGGGGGTGCGCATCAGAACCACCCTGGGCCTTTAAAAAAGTACAAATGCGGCGGGCGCGGTGGCTCACGCCTGTCATCCCAGCACTTTGGGAGGCCGAGGCGGGTGGATCAGGAGGTCAAGAGTTCGAGACCAGCGTGGCCAACCTGGTGAAACCCCATCTCTACTAAAAATACAAAAATTGGCTGGGTGTGGTGGCGGGTGCCTGTAGTCCCAGCTGCTTGGGAGGCTAAGGCAGGTGAATCACCTGAACCCGGGAGGCAGAAGTTGCAGTGAGCTGAGATCGTGCCATTCTACTCCAGCGTGGGTGACAGAGCAAGATTCCATCTCAAAAAATCATAGTAAATACTAATAATAAAGTAAAAGGAGCACCCCTGGATAAAAGCAGCAGCTAACGGCTCTGTGATTCAGCTAAGCCAAGATGTGCCCATTCCTTCCCCTCAGTCCCTTTTCTCTAGCCCCTTTAAGAACGAAAAAACAAGCAACTTTCAAGTCACTTTGGTCATCTGTATTGTCAGTAAAGCATTCACTGTGCTCTTCTTACGGAGACCTCTCTGATAGCTGGGTGAGAGGTGCGCAGGCTGGAGAACATTCTGTGTGGACTGATCGTGAAAAAGGAGCTGCGGTGGTCAAGGTGTTCCAGTCTTCAAATACAGCTCAGGGTCGACGCTAACTACCGTCACTCCTGCCTCTCTCCGGAACAAAGAACCAGCACCAAGGACCCTGCCCACCCCGAGAAGCGTGCCTGGTTTCTCATGTCTAGGGTTGCTCCTCCGAGCAGACAAGCCGAGACCAGCAAGACGGTTACGGGGCACGCAGAGCGATGGGGGCGGATCTGAGGCTACTGCCTGGAGCGGGGGACGGCACACCGAGCCTTCCTGAACTGCCATTGGATGAGGAGACCTGGTTCCCTGTTTGCAGAAGGTCAGGGGAAATGCTGAAGAGCACTCGGAATAACCTGCCTGCTTGAGGGTGACGGCAAGTGTTCCACACTCTTGTCTACTCCAAGTCAGATTCCTAAAAATAAAATCTTAGAAACATGGACATGGGAAACGCTGGCCTACGTGAAGAGTACGGTTGCATTTTATCTGTTAAATAAGAATTCCTAGAATAGCCTCTTGGACCCTCAGAGTTCTACACCTTTGGGAGAGAGAAATTTCCTTAAAATAAAGGGATTGCTTTTTTATGTAAATAGCTTTCATTTTCCCCATCTGGAAGTGATTTCTCCTTGCATGGTGGAGTGCAGAAGGCTGCAGTTAATTAAAGTCTGACTGGATATCATTTGCTCGATGTATTTCCTTACTGCTGACAGAAAACAGAGCAGACTCCAGGAAAGAATTAGCGAGCCCGTGACCCTGGCCCCCCAGAAGCTGCCCTTCTCCCTGGAGGAGGTGCCCCTTCCCGGACAGTCTGAGGGAGCGACATGCCGGAGCGAAACGTGGCTGGCCCAGCCCTGGCCTGCCTGTCCAGTCGTGGTGAAGCCCCTGGGTGTGTAGGCTCTGCTGCTGACCTGGAACCCTTCTCG